TCCCTCTCTCTCTCCTTCCCTCTCTCTCTCCTTCTCTCTCTCTCTCCTTCTCTCTCTCTCCTTCTCTGTCTCTCCTTCCCTCTCTCCTGCTCTATCTCCTTCTCTCTTTCACTCCTTGTCTCTCTTCTTCTCTCTCCTTCTCTCTCTCTCTCTCTTTCCCCCTTTGTGTCTCTCTCTTTCTTTCATTACAGAGAATGTTTCCTCAGATGCCAGAGCTGTGAGTGCAGAGGAAGCCCTGAAATACCTGCTTTTCCTTGTGGACGTCAATGAATTGTATGATTATTCCCTGGGGACGTACGATTTTGATTTAGTCATCATGGTGGCTGAAAAATCACAAAAGGTCCTGCTTAAATCACTTTGCTACTTACCCCAAAGTTCTTTGCAATGTATGCGTCAGACCATTTTTTTTAGGCACATCTCTCTGCTTAGGAAGGATTCAGGCTGCCTAGGAAGCCCATGTCTGCTTGGAAAGATGTTGGGAATTTGGCAGGCGTGTGCACCACCTAGCAGTTCTTGCAGCTTGGGAAGCTTACTCATGCTCAAGGTGAAGCAGGGCTGTTCTAGAACAGCACTAGCCAAGGAGGAGGCTGTGATCCAGAGCATTATGGCTCTTTGCCTTGGCATCCCTGGTTCTGTACTTCGTGGGGAGTTTGGTTGGATAGTGGCTCTGACAATAGTGTGTATTTTCCAGCAGGTTTAACTTGCAATTTTTCTGTGGAAATACCAGTCAGATCAAATTTATCCATCTTCTGATGTTGGAGAAGAGCTTGCTGGTCATGAACTAGAATATCCTATTTGTGTTAGTAAGGAGTGCTTTTGCGACCTTTCGTTTAGATTAAATTGATCAGCTTGATAGCTTCAAATGTATAGGAAAAAAAAGGGTAATAGAAAACAGTATTTGATAGATGAATTCTTTTGATACTTCAATTTAAAATACCATTGACCATTAGATACAGCTGAAGTCCAGATGGAAGCCTGTTAATTAAAAGGAGGCCTTCCTGGCAAGAGTATGTATACAGCATTGATCTTTCGGGATGACTTATATTTTAACCAAAAAAATAGTCTTTGTAGTGTATAATTGCATAATAATTTCACCTATGGAGTTGTCAGCAGACCAAGGATGTTATCAGATGAGCTCAACTGCTGTTTTTAACTATCCTTGACAGGATCCAAAAGAGTACTTGCCCTTCTTAAATACCCTCCAGAAAATGGAAACCAATTATCAGCGATACACAATAGACAGGCACTTGAAGAGATATACCAAAGCTCTTGGTCACCTTAGCAAGTGTGGTAAGTTGTCCTTCACGTGCAATATCTCTAAGGAGAAATTCTGCAGTAGGGCATTTCTTTGTACAGGACATTGGGAATAAAATAGCTGAAAAGGGAGCTCCCCTTAGTGCATAGCTAACTTTATTCTGCTCCATGTTATTTAAGCATAGTTAGGAACAGAGAAAGAGTGATTGAGGTGATCCTGAAGTACAAGTCTTGATTTTTTCTGCTTGGGGACGACTTGTTACTAGCTGGTATTGTTGGCAAAAGCAAAGCAGATCTTGAGGAAACATATCTCGAGGAGACAAATCTGAACAAATGTGTTGTTGCACCCAGTTAAAACAAGCCTCAAGGTGCTTGTTTGTGTAATGAACCCAGTATAAGAACCGTGTGTATAAGGAAGTATAAGAACCGTGTGTATTCTTACCTGTTGCTACAGAAAAATGAATTGTTTCCCCAGGTCCTGAGCACTTCTCTGAATTTTTGAACTTGGTGAAGGATCAGAATCAGTATCAGGAAGCTTTGAAGCTGTACCAACCCGGCAGCCAGGAGTACAAGGTGCATGAGCTAAGTGAACCTACAGTGAATGAGTTTTTAATTCCCTTGTGTGTGTGCACATCTCCAGCATCTTGAGTGAAGGCAGGAGTAAGACAGAAGCTGGTTGCGTTCCAGCTCTGCAAGATGTTACTCTCCTATGTAGGCTGTGATACCGTGTCCCTCTGCCCCTTGGTGAAGCCTGTGAGCTCTGAACAGCCCCACAGCAGCCCAGCCTGTGCCTCTCCGGTTGCAGGGGTTGCTTCTTCTCTACCACAGTTTTAACTCCTGGGATAAGCTGTTCAGGAAGATATTCAAAAATTGTTTATCTGGGTAGGGGGAAGAGGTTGGTCTCATGCATTCAGATGGTGCCAGGGAGAGCAAACCTTCAAAGCCAGAGGCTGCCGAAGGCGGATTTCCAGCCTACACTTAAACCTTGAAACATAGGCTGCTCCAGAACTGTAACAACTTGCTTGCTTTACAGAAGATGAAAACATTGCTTTGATAAAGAAGTGTAAAGTGTAGGAGATAAGAGTAGTAGTTTGCCCAGCCTTTGGCTTAGAGAGTTAGATACCTCCTCCCATTTCTTGCTTCAACTCTATGTGAAATGTTTCCATGGCCATTAACACTAGGGTTGATAAACAGTTTGAAAACCCATAGGGACATTCTTCCCGGATTTCTTTCCTGGAGGAAAAAACAAAAGCTGGGTTGAGAGCCATTTTTTTTTCTTATGGATAACTGCTGCTAACTTTCCATCTGATCATTTTTTCTTATTTTTTTTTTTCTTTCATTTGTTTCTGTCCTGCAGGACATCAGTGATGCCTATGGGGATTACTTGAACCAGAAGCAGCTATACGAACAGGCTGCATTGATATTTGCTCGTGCTGGCATCTTTGCCAAAGCGCTGGACTCCTTCCTGAGCAGTGGCAGCTGGCAGCAAGCCCTGTGCATGGCTTCACGGCTTGGTTACACAGCAGATAAGCTCTCCAGCCTGGCACAGAGCATGGCAGGTAGGACCTGAGAAGAGGAAAGGATGCAAAAAGTCAGTAAAGGCAGCAAAGCTCAATGCTGCTGGTTTTGGTTCAGTGTGATGGTTTTTATTTTCCCAAGGAGAAAAAACGGTCCCTGTTTCCCAAAGGTCTGTGTCACTGCACATCACCTGCTCATGAGCTGAGGTGCTGGGTACCCATGACTTGCCAATGTAGTTGTAGCCTTTGCTACCCCAGGCTCGCTCGTTCTTACACTTGGCCTTTGCAACCATTTGCAGAATTGTCATTCCAAAATGCTTCCTGCACCAGGAACAGGCCTGGCCTGGTTAATCTCAGTGGATGGAAACACTCTGTGAAGCATCTGATATGACTGAAGTCTCTAGACGTGGTTGATGCAGATTTTTGACAAAGATTGATACACTAGACACTGTCCTTAAAGACTGTTGGATAATTGTGTTTTCATGTTTTCTTCCTAAAGCTTGCTAGAAACCAGGGCCACCTCGTATTTGTAGGGACATGTTCGGTCCTACTGCAGGGTAAAAGATGCCTCATCTCAAAAGAGCTTGTGCTCGCTGGGCGCAGTGATCCACATGCATGAGATACTAGTCATGGACCTTATTCATCAAGGGAAATGGTCTCATTTTGAGGCAGATTTTACAAAGCCCACTTTAAGCTGGGAGAATATGACTCCCAGGAATGTCATCTTACAGATTTGGATACTCCAGTGTCTTATTTTTCTGTCATTTAATGAATTCTGAAGTGTTTATATGTAATGGAAGGTATATGGTTCATTTTTTTATGTTAGCACTCTTGCCTTTAACAACTTTCCCAATGCACATCTTAAAATATAAATGTAATTTAGTGAGAAGAACCAATACAGACTCCTTTGGATAAGGAGTGCTTTGCTTTGGACTTGGTTTTGGTTCGTTTTCTTACCCTATTTGTCAATGTCCCACTTATACTTACCCTAATAGACAAGCAAGTGCCAAAGGTGATCTAGACTTAGGGAACTAGAAGCCCTGAATCCCACAGACTTGATGCTTGATGTCCACAGCACAAAGAGCCGGGAACAAGCTGCTCCCAGCAAACAGCAGGACTGTGATTCCATGAAGAGATATTTCCTCTTTACTTCCTGACCTTTCATTTAAGAAACTACCTTTTATGTCAGGGTGTGAGAGAGCGGGTCTTCAGCTGACTTTGAAGGGACATGCATCAGCAATTTAACAAGAAACTGGGTGGTAAAATGAAGGTTAATGGAATTCTTGGCTTTGGGCAGCCATTCTCTTCAGGGGCAAGGCTGTGTAAGTGTGTGAGCAAGTAGAATGTGCCTCAGACAGGGGGATTTTCCAGTACCTCAGTACTTCCTTTTTGCCATAAAGCTCAACAACTCCTGAAAATCTGAACTCTGACCTTATTTTTTTTTTGTAGTGAAACTGGTTGAACAGAGGAAGCATGCAGAGGCAGCCTTACTTCTGGAGCAATACACTCAGGTAAGGTAACCACTCTCCTGCCTATGTCCCTGGAATATCTGCTGTCCAGAAGCAAAGCCATCTCCTGGACTGCATGTGACCAAGCAGGGACTTGCCCACTGTGAGTGCTACCCAAGAAGAGTCCATGCAGTCAGGTCTGGGGAAGGCAGAGCTGTTCAGTAAGCAGAGGGTTGCAGGATGCTGTGTCCCTGCATTGTCAAGTCCATGTAGCTGTCTCGGCTTTGGTAGCAAAAGATTTTGTACCAGAGACTCAAGCACACATCTTAGAATAAGGAAGACTTAATAGTCATAGCCCCTTAGCCATACCATAACCAAGTGACTTGATTTTGTGTTTCTTTAGGGGATAGTGTTGGTTGCATGAATAGATGTTGGAGAACAGGCAGCTGGCACTGTCTGCTTGGATGAAGCAAGCCACAGGAAGGCTTGTTCAGAGCCATTTTGGAGCAGAGCAGTGACTGCTGTAGCCATGAGCTCCATCAGAGAGAGCTTTACTCCGGGAGTTTGTAATGCCTTGCCTTATGCCTTGCCTAATATTTGTGTCTGTTTGCCCTTGGGCTCATGATGTGTGCCATACAGGTGAGGCTACCAATGGAGCTCTGCAGAAGCTGTAGGACAAGAGGAAAGGGAGAGACCTGCTGTGGCTCCTGGTGGTCTTTGAAGAGACCTTGAAATTGGCCACTTCCAAGTTGAAGACAGGAGTAATTCCCAGAAAGATGCACTTGCTGTGTATTTTGTTGCAAATTAAGCCCAAATTGCAGACTCTGAGAAGCTGGCTTAATGCTTATTGGCCATATAGTGAGCTTATCTTCTTCCTACCCCTTTGAACATCCTTTGGGTGGCCAAGGTTTTGTTTTTGCACAGTAGTTTTAAGCAGAAGGGGAGAGGGAAGGGGAAAACAGAAAAGTGTTATGATGTTTTGTTTTTAATGTCAGCCCTTTAGAAGTACCTGGCACAGTAGGGTTTCCCTATACTGACTGGAGTACCGTGCATGGGAGACAGCATCAAGACAAATGATACTTGAATGTCTGTCACCAGCATCAATAGAAGATAGTAAACAGCAAATGGTTGCCCTTTCTTTCCAGAACTATGAAGAGGCTGTTCTCCTGCTCCTGGAAGGGGCTCTCTGGGAAGAGGCTTTAAGACTGGTAAGATATTTCAGAGCAGGAAAACTAGCATGAAAAGATTATTTGGAGTGCAGAAGTAGGGAGATGAGACGTGGGTTACATCCTTAAATAACACCCTTTTTGCTCTTTCTGATCTTTGTTACCCAGATTCACAAGTATGGTAGGTTGGATATCTTGGAAACCAACTTCAAACCTGCTCTCCAAGAAGGTGAGTGTACAGGAACCAAAGACTTGCTTGTGCTGTGGAGGAGGAAGGAAGCAGGTCCCTCATGGGGCTATGGGAACCTGCATCTCTCCGCTGTTGGAAACTGTGTGCATGGCTCCTTTCATTCCACCTTACTCGTGCTGACCAGTTAGCCACATTTGGCAGTTCCACAGATACGTTATAGTTTAGTTGAGCTCCCTCTGAGCTTTTCCAGGGCTCAAGATCACAACTTGCAATGGGATTTGTGTTTACAGGTCCTCGAACAAGCAGGACTGTCCTTGTTCCAGAGCAAATGTAAGGAGGCAGAGCTCTGGGTGGAGAAAACTGTCCTAGAAGCTTTTATGAGAATATATTTTAAAGTACCATTTGGTACTGTATTCCCCCTTCATTCTAGAAAGGCTAGTGTGATGTTCTTGGAAATTTTAGTCTCTGTGAGCAACTTGTGCTGTGGACAGTAAGCTCTGAAATGAGGTGGGGAGAAGTGCTTAGCCTGCTTCAGTGCAAAGAGGTTGGTCATGAACCTCTCTGTTCTTATCACAAACAGGCTTTTGTTTTCCACGTGCTTTTTGCCACCTTTGTTCAGTCTACATCTGTCTCCATGTTTGATGGACTCCTTTATTTCAAACTTTGAATTTCCTTATACTTAAGAGTCTTTTTTATGTGTTTTGTGTCTGATTTATGAATTTACTGAAGGAGAGTTTCTGTGCAGAATGCTTTAAGTTGTACAGAAATGGTCTTCTAGTGCAATTATAAAGACGTTCATATGCTCTTGGACCTGGTTGTCTCCATAAACAGCTCAGAAAAGTCAGATGATGTTCCTGGATTCTCAGAAAACAGCCTTCCTGCGCCATAAGAGCCGACTGCAAGTAGTCCGAGAGCTGAAAGAGAAGGCCTGTGAGGGCCTGCAGGGTTGGTATTGAAATGCATATGACTTTCTCCAGCATAAATATCATCATTTTTTTCCTGTGTGATTTCTTTTTGTCTTGGGGATCTTGTTCTCTTCTAGCTCCCGTAGTATCCTTGGAACCTGCTGTAGGATTTTTAGAATGGGTATTTGCCCTGTATAGCTCGTGCAGAGCGGGCAGGGACATGGACAACACCAACATTATAAAGCATCCCATTCTCCCTCCATGCGCACCTTGTACCTCGCCTGTGGTTGCCTGGCCATGGTTGTTTTGTAAATGCAGTTGTTTCCAAGACTGTCCTTGTCACGGTGCCAGCCTGGCTGGCTCAGGCACTCCCTATGGGCTGGCTACCCCCAGGTGCATTTTCTGCCCTCTTACACAGCCGCTGCACCCTGACGAAGCGTTTTACTCTCAGATCTGCTGCACTGAGATGCTGTTTTTGCTGGTTAGTGATCTCAGTGGTCAGCAGGGCCAAGAAGCAGCATTCTCCTCACAGTTGCTGTTTCCCCCTGTGTGCTGGCTGAGCTTGGCTCAGAGCCATGAGGCCCACAAGTGGCATTAGCTGGAAGACTCTGCCTAAGCTGCATCTCTAGCAAGCTGCATAGATTACCCAGATTGAAAAAAAAAATCTCTGAATAACTGTGGCCTTTTTCCACACTGTGACAATTGTTTGTGTGTTTTGCAGATTATGAAATGCCAAATTGCCCAGAATTGGATCTAATCTCCGAAACCAGCAGTGTTGTGACAGCCAGTGACATGAACAGCAAATACTCACACAGCAATTCAAGAATATCAGCGTAGGTATCTGCCTCTAAATTAGGCGGTGGCTGCCCTAGCGTCAGCCCTCATTTGGCAGGGCAGCTTGCTCGTGCTTGGCATGCTCCTCCCAGCAGCTGTGCATGCTTTGAATCCACTTCTAATGACAGCCATTTTATGGTGAATTTGGCTCTTATTGGGAGGGCCAGAGCAAAAAAACACCAGGGTCTAGTGGTGCAGCAAGAGCTGAGTGCCCACACGAGCAGCTGCGGGCACAGACTCTGGGCAGGAGCTTTTTTAAGTGTCAGGCACGTTGTCAGAATAGCTGCAGGAGGCTTCACACTGAATGCAGGAGTAGTTCCTCAGACATTCACGGTTTCTGCGCTAGGCTTTTTCTTCTTCGACGTATTTTACATTTGATAGATAGATGTTGCATCATTCTTGCAGCTTCATTCTGTTGTCTTTCCACCCGGGTTGTCTGTGTTGCTTTTGAGTACTCTTTGGAATATGAGTGGTTTGGGGTGTGGTGAGTGGTTGTGTTATAGGCTGGGGTGGTTTGCAGGAACACTCCTGAATTTGGATATCATGCCAGGATGCAGCTGTGGAAGAAGTACGGGCTTTGTAGGACACCACAGGTTTGCTGGTTAAGCATCCCAGAAAACATTCACGTTGGATATATCAGTTTACAGGCAGCCCCCTCTTACTGGGGACAGTAAGGACTTGAGGAGTGATGTGGAAGTGAACGCTGAATGAATGCAGATCTGGAGCAGGGAGGGCAGCCAACTCCACAGAGTTGTGTCTTCTGCCCAGCCTTGTTTGCTTTCCTGTAAGTCTGCCCTGTTACAGCTCATCCTTGGGTCTGCATGGAATGAAATGTCCTCCTTTTCCAGCCGATCCTCCAAGAACCGTCGCAAGGCCGAGCGCAAGAGGTACAGCCTGAAGGAGGGCAGCCCCTTTGAAGACGTGGCCCTTCTGGAAGCCCTAGGAGAAAGTATCCGTGCGGTCGAGGCTGTGAAGGGTAAGACAGTTGGGTCGCCTTAATCCGCCCCAGAGCTTGCAAAACAGCCAAAGCAGTAGGTTCCTATCAGGAGGTGGGTAGGCTGGAAGGATGAACTATACAGTGTGTAGAGTGCTGCCCCTGGCAGGCTTTGGTCTGGTTCATCTGTGCTGCAGGAGGCACCCAGCAGTGTGAGCTCTCCAGGGCTGTTGTTGGGGAGCACAGAGAGGGGAGACTTTGTGTTTGCTTCACGTTTTTGCTTGGACACTGGGTAGGGGCAGAGAGCTGTAGTGCTGAGTCACTGCTCCCCTGTCACTGCCCTGACACCAGGGCAATACAGCTCTTTATTTAGTATCCTTGCCTTAATTCCCATTGCTGGGGCTTTTGTTCCCTGCTGCAGGAGAAATACACGTCCTCCTGAAGCAGCTGGTGCTGTTTGGATATGATGAGCAAGCTGGAGAACTGCAGCGAGTCCTGGAAGAGGTTTTGCACCTGATGGAGACCTCGCTGCCTGAGATCTGGAGTCCCGAGCTACTGCAGAGCCCCCTCAACCCGGTCCGTGCTTGTGGCCTGCCAGGCAACCCCAAGTGTTTATCCATGTTTGTCATTCCTTAGGAAACTGCCAGAAACTTCCTCTGGCTTCCCAGATCCGACCTTTTCTGCAGAGATCAAATAGATGTCCTGTGCCATATGTTATAAGATGCACCTTCTGAATTGCCATGCACTAGATCTGTAAAAAGAGGCATAGCCTGTTCTCTAGGGGTGATTTACTACATTGGACAAGATTGGGTTTCATCAAGTTTGTGTCTTCTTGTCCTTGTGATTTCTCCCTGTACACCCTATCTTCATCTTTGGTAAAACACAGGAATGCTGCTTCCTTTCTTAGGAGTAATGGTTGAAGTGTCAGTGCAGCTTTTATATACTGGAATACTGGTTTGCCTGTGCTGGAACGTGTGTGTTGCTGCTTCCTGCAGGTCCTGGGACCCAATTCAACTGCAAACAGCATTATGGCTGCCTACCAGCAGAAGAGGATGGTGCCTCCCGTTGTGCAAGGTTAGTTTAGGCTCTTGCTCAGGCATTGGTGTTGGGTCTGCAGGTGAATCCAGGGCCCTGGGCTTCACCAGGTATTGCTGGTTGCCAGCAGCTGTACCGATTCTTCAGCTGAAGGAGTTTATTATTTTTAATGGGGTCTTCTCCCTCCTCCTGGCAAGCAAGTATTGGGAGGCTTTTATTTTATTTGCCCTGAATTCTTGTGCAAAAGCTGTTGATTGAAATGTGTTCCTGGCTTCCTGTGTAGGCTGTCTCTTGTGAGGGACTGGGAAGCTTTAATAGCTTAGTTATACTTCAACAGATTAGCAATTTCTACTAGAAATTCTTCCTAACACTAGATGATAGAAGTTAAAATCCTTTGTTCTGGATGGTTTGCGGGAAGTTTTCTTTGGTTCAGAAGAGTCCAAGTCGTGGCTTTGACGTGACTGGGGCCCCAGAGAGTGATTTCTGTGGGGAATGGTGCTGGGCATCCTTCGCTGCAGGCAGGTGGTCGGTGACTAAAGAGAAATACTTCAAGTCTGAGATGGAATTCTCCATTTCCTTGGATATGCAGTGTATGGCAAACCAGCTAGTGGGTGGTTCCTGAAGCTGTATCACTGTTACCCTCTGCACTCACTCATTTCCCACTTGCCTTTCAGATCCAGAATTACTCATTCCACCAAAACTCAATAAAAACATCCAGTGGAAGCTGCACCTGCTACAGTAGTTAACAGCCAAGGATTCCCAGTGGACTCTGAACTCTAGCTTTTCATTTAATTTCATTACATTTTTACAGAAATCTGTGTTGTCCTGGCTTTCGTGATGCCCTCACTGTTCTCGGGGTTGTGCAAACCTGGACATCTGCTGACCTGGGTTATTCCGTGGGCTGCAGGTTGTCAGTAGCAGGTTTTCAGCAAAGTCGCTTGCAGCATCAGAAGGAATCTTACTGCACTAAGGGCAGTGCTGCTTTGGAAATGAGGTCTGTTGGCTCTAGGGTGGTCTTGGGTTCATAGCAACGTACAAAAAGGAGGGGAAATCAATCCGTTTCAGAGCCTGCTGGGCAGCACTGCCCAAGTAAATCTGACCTTGAAGCAAGTGGAGGTAACTTAGGCCGGTGTCAGCTCAGCAGCTGTCCTGGGATTGCACTGTGAGCAGCTGGGAAGTGTTTCACCTGGAAACTGCCCTGACCTCACACCTGAGCATTAGCTTTTACCCCAGAATACTGCTGTAAAGGGAGGCAACAAGTTCTGGAGCTAGAACTTTCACAGGCTTCAGCCCCACTTCATGCCACGTTATTTTGTCCTGGCAGCTGTTGTGCCCCACACAAACCTCTTTGTGTGGCACTGGAAAGTGTCAGCACAAGGAGCTGATTCCTGTCTCTTTCAGGTAGCTGCGCCTGTAGTTTCCAGGTGCTCCATTTCTGTTAATGTGTTTATCTTGGTTCTTCTGTTTCTCCATCGTGTGATGGTTAAAGGAGAAGAACCTTTGGCCTTTCAAGGATAGATCAGTTGAAATCTTTTGCTTTCCTCGTGGAAGATGAATTTCTCAATCATTTCTCTTGTAAGCCATCTCTGAATAGGTTCATCTGTCTCTGTTTCGAGGGAGCTTTGACAGAGGAGCCTTAGAGCTGGAGCCAGCACCTAGTAAATAGCTAGTAGCCCATGAAGAACCACTCTGAGCAGCTTCTTTTACTGCTGAGCATCAGGTTTGCTTATTTGAAGGTGCTCTGCGTTACATGTGCTTTTCATTGAGCAGAGTGATCCAGCAGTGTGCTGAAGCCACACTGTAAGTCAAGTCAGAGTTAGCAAAGCAGGGCATTTGCCACAGTGTTGGGGACCAGGGTATGGTCTTCATGATGTGTTCACTGTGCTGGGCACCCACAGTTGCCAGGATCAAGGTATGTGGGCTGAAACTAGTTCGAGACCACTGCCATCTTGCCATCTTCAAAATACTTCTTATTTCTCTTTTTAAACTCAAAGAAATACAGTCATGTAGCCAGACCTGCATGGAGGTCTGGCCAGCTCAGAACACAGACATTCACACTGCTTTGAATAAGACAAAAACAAGGCAACTGCTTGATGTGCTCAGCTGTGATGCTGTCAGTTGATGCCCCCAGCTGATACCATTATCTGGACCTTAGTTTCTGTTTCAGTAGCAACAGGTTAACTTCGATGGTATTTCTACAGGAATGCTCCTTGGCATCCTCAGAGGTGCATTTCACCATGAAATATGCACTCCATTAGCTGCTGTCGTGACAGGAATGTGGAATTTGCTTTCTGTGTTTTGTGGAAGCTCCTGCAAATTGATGTGGTTATCCGTAATTGAGATGAGCTACCCCAACAAAAACATGCATTTAGCTTAGGAAGTGCCTCGATGCCTGAGCAAATACTGCAGTATGAAAGCCTGATTCTAATGAGACGTACAATGAAATCTATTCCCATGTTGCATGCTGCCCTGCTTCATTAAACACAATAAAAAAATCCATGCACAATGTTGTGATGCTGTTGTGAAAGCTGCAGCAGAAGTCTCTTATTGTCCTGTTAACAGCCAGGCTCTTGCCTTGGTTCGGGTACCCTTTTTAACATGGGCCTTCCTAAGGCTGTGCCTTCATCATCCCATCCTCAGAAGCACTTGCTAAAAGCACAGGGAGGACCGTATTCCTCATATTCCCTCATGGAGACCCAGACTGCTGGAAGGATTGGAGTGAGGCCAGAACAGAGCCACCAACCCAGACAGAGGAATTCCTGTGGGAGGACGTGGTCGCTTGGGTGCGTGGAGGTCACCTCGCTCTGGAAGCAGCTGGTGGTTGTGGTGCTGCCTCCACGCAAGATGTTGCCCCATAGCCTTTTCCAGAGGCTGTGGCTGCGCCTGCAGAGACAGGTCAGGTGGGAGAGCCCCAGCTCTGCAAGCAAGAGCTTCCACAAGGGAACCGCTCCATGCCCGCACTGACCTAACCCATGAGGTTCCTAATCCATGAGCTTCTTCCCAAGGGACAAACTCAGGTCCTGCTTGAGCTCCAGGGAGCTGTAACAGCATTTTTCCTTAAAATCTTCTATACCTAGCTGATCTTCCATGACTCATTCAGTAGCTTCAGGTCCTGCACTCATTTAGTGGCTTCATGAGGTAGTGTGTGGTGTCCAAGCCAGCGTAATCTACCCTCCCAGTGACCATAGGCAAGATTCAGCCTTCACAGACAGGAGCCACATCCTGCATGTGCTTCCCAACTGTTGGAATGATGTGGGGTGACCTGGGCTGCCCCGTAAGGCCATGTTTAGAGCCAGCGGTGCCCACATCTACGATGACGGCTCTCGTTTCCTTCCCTGGCCTGGGGCTTCCCGTGGCTGATGGGGCACGACTGGCGCCTTCCCTGGCCCGGGGCTTTGGTAGGGCTGCACTTGCAACTGCGATTCCTCCATGGTTGGTGCTGGACGTGCTCCTCATGCTGATGCCACCACCATGCAGGGGCTTCTTGTGGCGCTGGGGGCTCCCTGCTGCTGTCACCAGTTGATGGCAACAGGCCAGCGTGGCCCCAGCAGAGGGTTCTCGGGGCTGCACCCCGGGTGCGACCACACGGGCAGCTGAGCAGGGCAGCGTGCACAGAGGGGTTGCGGGTGTTGTGTGCACAGAGGGGCTGCCGCTGCTCTGCGCTGCTCCTGGAGGACACGGCCCCATGCAGCTCGTGGCGACGGAGCACGGACGCTGCCTGCAACTGGGGAAGCTTCGCATGGTGCTCCGGTGGTTTTGCTCTCGGTCACACCGATCTCTGACGGCTTCTCTCCGTGGTGGGCACAGGCAGCAAGAGATGCCCAGTCACAGTTTGTTTCTTCCCCTTCTGTGCCCAAGCTCAAGTCTGGAAAAGCACCTAGACTTCTCAATTAAAATAAATCCTTCTACTCAAGACTTCACCACACACATACGTATGGTTTCAGAATATTTCAGAATATTTCAGAATATTTAAGGTTGGAAGGGACCTCTACAGATCATCTAGTCCAACCTTCCTGCTCAAGCAGGCACACCTAGAGCATGTGGCACAGGGTGGCATCCAGGCGGGTTTTGAAGACCTCCAGAGTAGGAGACTCCACAACCTCCCTGGGCAGCCTGTTCCACTGCTCTGTCACCCTAACAGTAAAGAAGTTGCTCCTCACCTGGAGACGGAACTTCTTGTGCTCCAGCTTGTGGCCATTACCCCTCGTCCTATCGCTGGCCACCAGTGAGAACAGCCTGTCCCCTTCCTCCCTGCATTCTCCCTTCCTGAACTTATACATATTAATCATATCCCCTCTGAGCCGTCTCTTCTCCAGAGAAAACAGGCCCAGCTCGCTCAGCCTCTCTTCATACGAGAGATGTTCCATTCCCTTAATCATCCTGGTTGCCCTTCTCTGAACCCTCTCCAGAAGCTCCACGTCCTTCCTATACTGGGGTGCCCAGAACTGAACACAGTACTCCAGGTGTATGGTTGTCACAAAGAAACTGCAGATACAACTCCAATTTAAGAAATCACTTTTATTTTTCTCTATATTACAAAGTTAATGTGCTGCTGCATCCTGGCTACCCTGTGCCCAAATTACGGATAACAAAAACCCCCACAACCCCTAACAGTTCTATGTTCTAGCCTCAAATCCGTACACAAGTTTCTACAAAGTCACTTTGACCGATGGTTCGACAGATGAGTCTTTAGCTGTGGGATAGTGGATAGCTTTTGTTTGCAGATGTGACACCTGAGGGGCAACTTGAGGAGCTCAGCAGTGTGTTCCTTCAGTGTTACTTTCCCCTTGCTTCTCACCATCTCTATCACATCTGAAATAAGAAAGAAGGGCTAATGTAGCCACGTAGCACCATGCCATGCTGTTAACACAGTACGACCTATGCACACTGCTCTTCAGGACAGCACGAGCCTGGCATTCCTGATCTTTAATTTAAACCAGTCACACCATTTGAGTTTATTTAACTTTTTCCTAACTTTTGTCCCCAATATCTGAAATTCTGAAATGAAATAAAACCTTTCATTCATTGGAATACAATTTGCGGCTTACACATTCATTTGGCGGGGGGGAAAAAAGTTCAAAGCCAAAACTTTGGTATTTTTACAGTGTTGTATACTTTTTTTGCAGTATTTTTATAGGACAGTACTTTGCAATCATTACCTGTGGAGTTTATGAAGTATTCTGTAGTAAAAGAGTTCCAGTGCTTTTTTGTTTTCAGGGCAGGGGAATCAAAATCCTGGCTGATGACATGCAAATGCAGTTGACTGAAACAACGCATGTTTAGAAGAAAGAAAAATATGTTAATGCTTGAACTTCTTTCACAGTATTATCAGTTGCAGGCAAGAGAGTCTGCCTGCCTCATTTTGTTATGTTTGACCCAAAATCCTGCTACAGAAGGAACCCCCTGGGCTCTGGAAGCAGCCTCCCTCACTTTATGTTTCACCTGATTGTAAAAAGTCAAGATTGCAGCTCTACATACTGCGCTCATGTTCAAGGACAGTCCAGTTTCCAGAGAGAGAAGCAGCTTTAATAAACCAGAGGACATTCCTGAATGGGATTTTGCATCAGTGACTCAAAGCTAGGCTAGGAGATGAACCTCCAATCTGCATGTCCAGAAGAACAGGTTCTGCAGCGCTGAGCTCTACGACCCGTGGCTCATTTAGGTCTTACCTCATGCTGGGGATGGCGTGGTAGCCCAGTCTGAACTCCAACACCTCCTTATCCGGGCACTGCTCAATCATTTTCTCCCCAACTGCATGCATGTGTTCCAGGAGTTCAAGATGCTCCTTTGTGACGGACTGCAGGCTTGAGATGGAGTCCCACGGTAAGACGAGCCAGTGGTAACGTGCCTTGGGATACTTGTCTTTGATGACCACAGTCTTTTCATCTTTGTAAACCTGTCAAACAGAAAAGCTAGATTTACTCAGTGGAAGTTAAATGTCTTATCCTGATAAACACCGTGGGTCATTAACCACCTGGATCCAGTGAGGTTGCATGAGTTTAACACAGAGTTGCACTTACTAACACAAAGGCATTAACAGAACTGGAAACGCCCTCTGTGGCTGATGATGCTTGCAGCATAAAGAGCACAATCAGGTTATCAAGATTTTCCTTCCTGTGACTTACACAAACATATTCTTTCCTCTGTCCATGTTAACATTCAGCCAAGGGTTAGCAGTGCAGGGCAGACTTATCCAGCCCTGGAGAGGAGCTCATGCCCTGAGGATTCCTGGAGCGAAACACAAATCTCTGGGGTAACACAGACAACGTGCACAGTGCAACACAGCATCAGACAGGAAACATCTGGGCCCGGGCACTCGGAGCTCATGTGAGCGCACCGCTTGGGAAGATCATTCCAAACGGGATTCTGCCATCCCGCTGTCCTTGCCCTGTTCTCACCTCACCTGCCTTCTGCAAGAATCTGGTGCAGCTGATTGAGGGCCAAGCAGCAAAACAAGCGCAGAGCAGGGGCACAGGACAGTTAGTGGTTACTGAATCTGTCAGTTCTGAGGCAGAAACTATGTTCCATGTGTGTGACCTCCTAGCAGCATGTCTACCAGTAAGAAATGGAAGATCTCTCTCTCTCTCTCTCTCTCTCTCTCTCTCTCTCTCTCTCTCTCTCTCTCTCTCTCTCTCTCATCTTTGTTGATTATTTTCACAGGTTTATATACAGAATGGAGCAGTCTTGTTCTACAGGAAAGAAGTATAAAATTCTATAAAAAATAAAAAATAGGCTTCTATTGTGCACTGAGCTTCTAAAAACACCTAATAAAGCCATCACTCAGTCACAGATAGTTATTCATACTCTAACATTCAAACAACAGATTTAAAACCAGACTATCTTTTGACTCAAGAAAGCACCATTTCTGCACATCTGAGCTTCTGCTTAAAGAATAAAGATTAAGCAGATTTACAAGGTAAATCAGCACTTCAATAGCTTTAGCGTCCCTCAGAGAAAGACATACTTGAACTGATGGCATTTCCTGGATAATGGCTGTTCAGTTCCCTCAAAATATGATACAATCTAGTAATTTAGACTTGGACACCCATCGAGAAATTGGGAAATTCTGATTAGGTATCCAGGAAAATATTTCCACACTGCAGTAGATCATGACTTTGAGATGTTCAGTAAGGCTGTGGGATCTTCATCCTTGTAGAATATCCCAACCCAAAGAGAGGAGGGCAACTTAAACCCATGCAAGTGATTGGGCTGCACGACCAAAACTGTTTTGTGGTTTTGAGAAACAAGGATCATGCGTTTCTAGCTATCCTCTCAGACACTTATAATTGCTCAAAAGCGCAAAGAAGAAGGAAAAAAAAAGCCCACAGACTTCTCTAGTGCTAAGGTGGCCACACAGCAGAGTCCCTCAGCCCAAAGCCAAGCTGCAGAGATTCTGACCTTGCTCTAAGACAAAGCAGAAAAGCAGCAAAAATTTCTCTCAACCAACCAACCAACCCACCCCTGCCCGGGTGGCCTGGTCACATGGAAAGCTATGGAAAACTGCATCTTGATGCAACACTGCTGGAGGAACAAGCAGCCATCCTCCCTTCCGTTTTCCCAGACGGGTGCAATCTGAATGATGTCACCTACTTACAAACACTTGAAATGTAAATAAGGTTTTGAGAAACGTTAGATAGTGAATCACTGAATTCCTCTCATCTCTAGTAGAGCTCTCCCATCAGCCTTTAAAGTAACCTGCTTCTCTCAAGTATGAGTGCTGCTCTATGGAGAGCATTCTGGAATTGAGCTCTAAGGGCATGTTTTGAGAAGATGCAGGCTATGCATTAGTCATAGGTTAAAAACAAATTTAAAGTTGCTTTTCTTCAGGCGTAAGGATGCTCTAAGAAAGCCAGAACAGTTCTGAGATTGATATATACTAGAACCTCAAAAAACAGGAGTTGGCAGCGACCCACTTCTTCAGCTGACGTCTCAGAAAGCAGACGTCAGACAAGCCCAGAGCTGAAGAGGAAGGATTATGTAACCAAAGGAAAGCAGAGATAGAGCAAGATGCATTTGGAGCCTTCACAGCAGCTTAAGCAGAAATCACCTAGGAATTCCAGTAGGCAAAAAGGGTGGATCAGGAACCAGTGGTCACATCCTGCCAGCAGGATCACAGGTTTTCCTCAATTCAGAGTTACTGGAAACCAGGAAACTGCATCATGCTCAGAAACAAGATAACTGCTGGAAAAGAAAGCATGAGCTTCCACTACGTGATCGGCTTCAACTCACACCATCCTTTTGGATGGATTCCCCAACAAAACAAAGCAACATGCTGCTCATCTACTCTCCCAACAACCTTTCCCAAATCTTCCGGACAAATCTGGCAGAGCTGAGAGATCAAGGATAACGAAGGTCTGACATCCTGTGAAGTCAGCAGAGCAGACATCTAAATTCACAATACCACAGAATAAAAAGGCAAGCACAATTCAGTTCGTACGTAGTAGCCCATTGGTTCCTCAGATCATTGAAGCATGCAGCAAAAATTATCATTTCACTTTGTTAAATGGAAACTACTGCAAAGTAAGTGTGTACAGTTCCTACCTGCATGTTTGGATCTCTCATGGAGCTCTTTAGACCCTGACTCCAGTGTCCTGAGTGTCCCTAAGACACAGAAAAAAAAAGCATTTTGAAAAGATAATTAGGAATCTAATGATACTAAAAAGCATTCTGCTAAAACCTTTTATTGGAGTTCTAATAAAGGACAGCTAAAATGACAGCTGATATTTTGTAAGATGCAATCTCCCCTCCCCGAAGCCCTTATACAAATCCCTAACGAGATACTGTTCAGATTCAAAGTAAATCTTTCAAACAGGAGCAAACACTCCCAAAGGGAATCCTCTTCCTTCCACAGAAGGAAGTAAAAAAGCACCACTGGAGAAGATCACCCCAGGAGAAACAGCCCAAGTATTAATCTTAATACACGTACCATTTTGCCAGAAACCCCCTCGTTTGGAGATGCACTGGAACTGCTCAGTTTGTGATCTACAGAACTGCCCTGTGCATCCACTTCCTCCGTCTTCATACTTTTTCTGTGAACATTTTCTTCATCACCACTTGCGCTGTTCTCATTTGGTCTCTTCTCAGCTGGTGTTTTCTCTTTTGTCACAGTTTTCCCCGATTCTTCAGAAAATTGCACTGTGTATGGGTAAAGCTGGTTCACAATATGCAGAACTTGGCCTGGCTTCATTTTTACCTCTTTATCCTTGCCAATATCAACTAAATCAACGGTAGTTGGGTTAACGCCTATCTTTGATGAGAGACAGAGAGAAAAAAAACAGGAGAGCACACAGACGATCTTGTCAATGCCATCACCAGCAGTTAACTCAGTTGTCCTCAAAATATCACAGCCGTAGAGAGAAGTGTTTTGTGTCCACTGCACCCCTCTCCTGGCACTGACCCACTCTACAAGAGTCCCCCGGAGATATCCAATGTGAAGGACTGAAGGAACCAGCTCTTTGCTCCTCTCATTCCTTCTTTTTTGACAAGCCATGCCTGTTAACCCTTCCGCAGCCCACACAAGCCTGTGTTTAAACAAAGCTGGAGATAATACCACCATTCTTCTAAGGGAGGCTAAGCCTCTGAGGCCGTTCACCCCAGCACATGTCAGCCTAGGCAACCTGTGGTGTTTGCAGTGGATACAACTTGTTTGATCACGGGAGCGACCGGAGGGAAGTAAGGACTCTCCAGCTTCAGCAAAACGCTTTGGTTAATGTTTACACATGGTGCAAACCTTAGGAAACCAGATCACGCCTGTGGCTGATGAACCCTGACAGTCTTTGGCTTTGTCCCCCGCCTGTCTCACCGCCTGGTGCTGCCCCTCTCCTCACTGCCCCAACAGACCCCGGTAACAGGCAGAGCCACTGCTGGTCTAAAGCCCACAAATCTCTGCTCACACCAGGCACAACTCACATCCCACCGACCAAAATGCCCCTCAGCAGCTGATCAAATTAAAGCACAGGGGCAGCAGCCACAGAGCAGACTGTGGGAACACGCTGCCTGCTGCCGCGAGCAGATACTCTCTGCTCTAAAACTCCAGCACTGCAGAATCCAAACCGCTGTTATGGATGATTTCTGTGAAATCATGTCTTTGGGTTTCTTGCAGAATCCACCATATACCAGTGGCACAAGCATCTGCTGAGCTCTTGGGACACTTTGAGGGAAGCTGTTGCTCATCAGTAGATAAATTGAATGCTGATGCCGTGGGCACACACATACCTGGCACTTGAAGTTGGAGAATTTTCCTTCGTGCTATCCCAGGGATACCAGACCCCTAAGAATGGGGCAGGAGGCCTGCGTCTGCACAGTTAACAACACTCGAAATCTTTCAGCAATGTTCCAAATCCCCAGAAGTGACCATGGCTTTGGCCCTATCAGCCTTCAAAACAAAAACCTTGGAGAACTGCCCATTCCCACCAGCATAATAAGCACCATCTGGGCCTTAAGTGAGGGGTTGCCTCGTCTTTAGAAGTACAGGGGTCAGGAGGAAAATGAGCACGTTTTTCTGCTCTCGATTGGAGAAAGAACAGTGCAATTTCCAGGATGAATTCCCTGTAGGAAGAGCAGGCTGAGGATTTACAGCAGAACGCCCTGGATGCAGCTTTGGCTGCCTGGAAGGAGCCCCACAGCTCTTGCACTGAGAGGGGACACCGCTTCTGAAGGGAACGTCACCTTCTTCATAAAACAAACAGCTCACGGCCCTTCAGAGCCCATGTTCAGAGTCACAGCTTGCCACCATGGTAAATATCGGAACATCACATATCCTTTTGGAAACATACCTGTTTGACGGTGACATACCCCTCGTTACAATCTGCTTTTAGCTGCACTGGAAAGGGAAAAAAAAAAAAAGAAAAAAGAAATGCAAATAAAAATAAGACCAAAAGACTTAAAATCCTACTGCATTTTGAGCAGGTGCTACTTTCTCAGAAAAAAATCCCTGAGTATTTTTTAAGCAGGCTTTTGCCATGCTGTCTCAGTGTTTGCAGAACTGCTGGTAAGACGTGACTAACCCATATGACAGAGTCATAGCTGCACATTTGATACCATAGATGAGCAAAGAAGTACGCCAGGATAAAGGCAAATTCTACTGAAATAATCTACAAACTCCTGCTGTTCTGTCACCATATGGAGTGGAGAAGGGCCGTGTCCAGAAGGGGAGAAACGCAAAGCGGGGAAGATGCCAAGGGAAGCATTTTACAGATCAGCGCACCATTTCTCCCAGTGTATCCACAAAATACCAAGTCACTCTGCAGGCTGGTTGTGGGAGCACGGGGGATGCAGCCAGTGGTTCCCACCAAGCGAGAGCGAAGGCCGCACAGGGAGCTGGACGTGATGGCTCACACCAAGGCCCGGGCCGGGCCGCCCTCTCCGCCTCAGCACCGCACAGAGCGCGCCTGGAAGCGAGGCCAACGCGGCGCGCACGGCCTCGGCGAGCTCGGGAGCGCCGGGCTGCCCTTACCTTGCTGCCGCGAGCACTTCTTGTCGCTGATGCCCGTCTCCGGGCCGCGGCCCAGCACCACGGCCCGCAAGTGCGGCAGCTGGATGCGCGCTCCGCTCGGCTCCCGCGCCACGAGCCAGCACAGCCGCATCGCGGCGCTGCGGGGGGGCAGAGCAGGCGCGTGAGCGGCCGCGCCGCCGCGCTCCCCGCGCCCCGCGGAACTCGAGGCGAGGCCTCGCGGCGGCCGCAGGCCGCGGCCCGTCCCCATGGCAACGCCGCCCGCGCCCCTCACCGCGCGCCGGGCCCCGCCAGCGCCGCGCGCGACCAATCAGCGCCGCCCCAGCCGCTCACGTGAGCAGGGCGAGCGCAGCGCGCCGGCAAAGTCACCGGAAACCGAGGCGTGCGCAGGCGCGCGGAGAGCGCGCGGGCTACGGGAGGCGGGAGAGGGCGGCGCGCAGGCGCAGTGGGGGAGCGCGGGGCGCGCGCGCGGCAGGGCGCATGCGCAGTGCGGTGCCGGCGGGGGAGGGGCTGCGCATAAACTCGCGCGTTTCGGGCGTTTCTTAAACCGAAGGCACTTGTAGGGAAGTGGCAACGCCTCAAACCGGTTGGTGCTGACCTGAGATAACACTGCTTTGAAAAATGGAAAGCAGCACCGTCCCCTTTGAGGCAACACGGTACCCGCGCTTGCGAGGCACGGCACTAACGCTGCAGCTCTATCCCCAGCCATACCGCCTCTGTGCACGTCTTCCAGCGCGCAGTGTTTGCCACTGACTGTTGTGGTGTATCAAGGAGTGCGGTGGTCCACCTAACAGCTCACGCAGTAAGTGCCAGGCCTTGCCACACCACGCTAACTGCAGCCGCCAGCAGCTCCCACTCCATGCCAGCGGCCGCTTCCCACCTTCCCACACAAACACCCTCCTGCTAGACAGCAGGGGAGAGGAATGAAGCGCTTCCCCCACGAGAAAGCCCCGCGAGAGCGGCAGACCGCCGGCCGCCCCCGAGGAGGCCGGGCCAGCGCTGCACCGCCGTGCAGCTCCCGCCCAGGAGCCAGCCTTTCACCTCACCCCTCTCTATATCCTGATTAAGCACCACGCTTAAAGGAAATTAAATTATTTCCCTAATGTCACGCGGAGCCCCCTCCAACCGCCCGCGTTCCCCTCAGGGCAGCCGCCGCCGTTATGGCCGTTACGGCCGTTGCGGCGCAGGCGCGGTGACGTCAGCGCCGGCGCGGTGCACGCCGGGAGCGGCGGATGCTCCGCGCTGAGCGGGGCGGCGTGACCCCGGCGGCGCGCGGCGGCGCGCGGCGATTGGCGGGCGGCGCCCCGCCTCCCGCTCCCCATTGGCTGCCCTCGCCTGGAGCGGCGGCGGGCCGGCGGGGCGGGACTTCCGGGGGAGCGTGCGGCTTGAAAAGGCCCCGGATGCGGGGGCCGCGCTCGGAAGTTTCCAGAAAAGTCGCGAGGCCGGCGCGGAGCCGCCGCCGCCGCCATGGTGAAGGAGACCACGTACTACGATGTGCTGGGCGTGAAGCCCAGCGCGTCCTCCGAGGAGCTGAAGAAGGCGTACCGCAAGCTGGCGCTCAAGTACCACCCCGACAAGAACCCCAACGAGGGCGAGAAGGTGCGCGGCCTGGCGGGGCGGCGGGGGGGGGCGCGGGGCCCGGCGGGGGCCGGGCGGCCCGCGCTCACGCGGCTCTCCCGCAGTTCAAGCACATCTCCCAAGCCTACGAGGTGCTGTCCGACCCGAAGAAGCGCGAGCTCTATGACAAGGGCGGCGAGCAGGCCATCAAGGAGGGCGGCTCCGGCGGAGGCTTCGGCTCCCCCATGGACATCTTCGACATGTTCTTCGGCGGCGGAGGGAGGATGCAGAGGGAGAGGCGAGGTAAGGCGCTCTCGCAAGCCCCGCTGCCTGTCTGCTGTGTTAGGAACCCCGCGAGGGCATGCTCTCCATCTAACCACTTAAATACGGCCAAACCCACGTGTAAAGTGAGGGCAAGCAAGCCCTAGTGCCAGGGACAGCCAGGGAGAGGTCACGCAGCCCGTATCGCAGCCCTTCAGCCTCTTGCCTCGTCTCATGTTAATATCTAACTAGGTGTCAGCCCAGGGAAGCGTTATCTAAGTATAAGCCCAGCCCCGAATAACCAGGAAGACAGATGGTAGCATGTCCGAACATACTTTCGGTTATCAAAAGTGCAAATGTGGATGTCTGCGGGGTTTGTAGTCGAAGAGTAGCAAGGCAGGCGAAGCAGCATCCCTCTGAAACTTGCTGGTTTCAGTTCCCCTGGCAGAACAGGGAGGAAAAATCTTCTGTAACAAAAATGTTGTTTTTCCTTTTTTAATGTGGTTAAGACGCTCCTGAAAAGACAGAGTACTTAAGTTTTATGAAAAAAAGTCTATAGTAAGTGCAGCTCTAGTTTATTACTGAGTGTGGAAATTTTAGTTAATTCAGTTTCCAGAAATACCCTTGTGAGAGGGAAGTACAGCTTTGCTGTCTGTAAACAATTTCTCCTCCTTTGTTATAGTTGAACAGATTGCTCTGTTCAGTCAGTCACTTTATATGCAGGCTTTTTAATTTTGTCCAGTGAGTTTCCCTATTTTGTTTCTGCTATTCCTCATACCTTTCAAGAAAGTCTTCTGACTTCAGTTTGTAAAGATTTGTTTTAATTTGATTGGGGTATAGGCATGGGGTGCTGTGCTTTATTTGAAGGCTGAATTTTCAAATGTGAGTAAATGTGCTTTTTCTTTTACAGGCAAAAACGTTGTGCATCAGTTGTCAGTAAGCTTAGAAGACATGTACAATGGTGCCACAAGAAAACTAGCATTGCAAAAGAATGTGATCTGTGACAAATGTGAAGGTAACTAACACTGAAACTAAGCGTAGGCTACTCCTGAAGCTGCAAGCTATTTTTTTCCCTGTGTGCTTTCTTCTGGCCATGCACAGCAATGCGCCTCGATCCCTGCTCTCCCCAGGTCGTGGTGGTAAGAAGGGCGCAGTGGAGTGCTGTCCCAACTGCCGAGGCACGGGCATGCAGATCAGGATCCACCAGATTGGGCCCGGAATGGTGCAGCAAATCCAGTCCGTGTGCATGGAGTGTCAGGGGCACGGGGAGCGCATCAGCCCCAAGGACCGGTGTAAGAGCTGCAACGGGCGGAAAATCGTCAGAGAAAAGAAAATACTAGAGGTGCACATTGACAAAGGTGAGAGCTGTGTTAGTGCCACGTGGAGTGCTACACTTGGGTTGTATCAGCATTGACCTTGTAGCACTAAAATAGGACCTTTAGTAAATGCATGGTATAGATTTAATGTTGTAGTAAGCAACATCACTGCTTGCGAGTTAAGAAAAGTAATCTGTTGCTACCTTTAAAAAGTGGGGGACTTGTTTTCAGAGGTTATTTCTCTATTCGTACATATTATATTAAGTAGGGGCTTGCTTTTGTATAGTACAGCTTTGTAAGCAAAAATCTTCATCAGGTAACTAGGCTGATCAAACAAATGAGAGATGCCCTGTTGGCTCACCTTGCCTGAAGAACCTTTATAGCTTGTTAGGAAATTCTGCAGACTCCGATCACTTCTACTGTGATACAGTGTGAAGGGGAACCAGGTCTGCTATAGTAACAGGGTGCAAAAACAGTGCTAAGCCTGCAGTGCTTGGAACTGAGCTTGCTGTGCAACCCTGACAGTGCTACTCAGTGCAAGTGTTCTCTGAAAATGTAATTCAAGATGCAAACTCACGCAGTTGTGGGGTAACGTGAACTGTCAGATGTCAAACACATCTCTTCTGAGGAGGCTACTCAGGAACTGGTGCAAGAAGTCTCTGGAATGGTCGGACTTCTAAGACATGCACGTGGCTTGCTGTGGGTTTATACCTGATTATCATCCGAGTTTCACTTGTTATGTGTAAGCACAGCTGTATCTTATGTGCCTTTTTGATTCTTTTTTCGTCTCAGAAGGAAAAATGCTGCAGTGTTTTGCAAAGCAGTAGTAATATATTGTGATCACTTAAAAATTGGAAATGATGGAAAAAAAAACTTTCCCATTGTAGAAAACTAGATTTTGCAAGCTAGTATGAGGCAGCTAGAATTTATGGTGCAGTGATTTATCTGTAGGTAAAATGTTTTTGAGTGATAACTCCTAGGAAGAGTGCTTCTTACCCTTTGCAGACACAGAGATTGTTTTTTGTAAATAGAGGATACTTAAAACTTAGAAAACTGATGGGTCATTTATTCTCAAAGTAAGTGTTGTATGCGGTGTTGTTTCTCTGCCTCCTTTGTAGTGCTTGTGTGTATAATGGAAGTTGTTTTGATAATGTTTCCCACAAGGGTTTTGTCTTGGCAGGTGATTTGCAAACTGCAATTAAGCTTAATGATCATGAGATGTAGCTCAGGATGGCAGTGCTAATCTTTAGGACTTGTGAGTTTACAAAAACATGTAATGCTGGAGAGGAATGTCCTGATGTTACAGTTTCAAGATCTAGAGATCCAGTGGCAGCTTGTATTTATTAAAATAGTTTATTTTGTTACTTTGGTTTTAAAATGCTAATATACTTTTTTCCTGCAATAGGAATGAAGGATGGTCAGAAAATAACATTCCATGGTGAAGGGGACCAAGAGCCAGGACTAGAGCCAGGGGATATAATTATTGTCTTGGATCAAAAAGATCACCCTACGTTTAGAAGGTAAAACCTCCACAAGTCTCTTATATTTACATCTGAGATGCTTGTCCAAAAGCTTTCTTGGTGACTACTGACTTTTTAGTTATCTGGAGACTTCTGCATTTAGGATAAGCTAGAATTCATCTGTTCTTTTTGTTGGTCAAAAGAATGTTGCCCCAGTGTGCCTGCAAAAGTGCAGTCAAACTCTTGGTGTTCTGAGAGCAGAAACCTCCTTTGTGAGCCTTTGCAGTAGAAGAGGAAGGGAGGCAAATTGAAAACATTCAGATACTGAGAGTTTACAGACCTTGAATTTTAAGGACTCCTAGACATTTTTTAATAGCTGTGAATATCTGCAAAAGTTGCTGTCATCAAGAATTTGTAATCTTTCTAGATAGCATCATGTAACTTAGGGGAAAAAAAAATCTTTCAGTATAGATAGCTGATTAGTGCTCATCTAGCCTCAGGTCAGGAGGAGCATCCAGTGCTTCACTTTTCCTCAGGTATCCTGTTTATTGCAAATATCTGCATACAGCTCCCTTCTGATGAGTCAGGTGGGCTCATGTGCTGACAAAGGTAGTGCTCCACATTCATTCATCACCTGAGTGAACTGGGCAGGATAGTAAGTTTAATCTGCAGTTTCTTGTGAAAACAGAAATTAACCCAAGCAGAATCATCCATGCATCTTGGTGCAACATTTTCTTCAAGTTACTGTTTGTTGAATTAGTTAATAGAGTATTTTTTCTGATTAAAAACACTGGTTGCTTTAGAAGCTTCTTGTGTGGCAGGTACTTGGTATGTTAATGCTTGTTTGGAGCAGTGCCAAGGTCCATTGATTTGTGAAGGTACTTGTGCCTTCAGGGGTGGGAGAGGGGCCCATGTGTCAACAGTTGACTCCCTTTGGTTGTCCTTGCAAGTGCAGATGAGAAATCAGATGTTCTTATGAAACATGTACCTTGTGTGAATGACTTTCCTGCATAGTGCTAAGCTGTGGAACACCGAAGTTAAAAAGTCAGTTCTGACCACTTTTGGTTTTAGTGAGTTGTTTTTCCTAACTGCATTAAACTACATCCTAAATCAGCTGTGCTGAGGAGCTGTTCTGTGCTGTACTTGTGCATGGTGCCTGGGACTTGGAGTTGTGTATTTGCTGTCTGTCTTCCTGCCCACTGCCTTCAGCTCCAGTGTCTTTAAGTTTCCCGTGGTATTTTTGATCTTATGGGATTACGCTGAAGTCATGCTGGTTCTGAGACAGATGGAATGTTTATCCTCTGCCTTCAGTCTAATATTATCCTTCCAGGCGAGTCTCCTTCCAGAGACCTTTAAAATAGGGTACATGAGGTAGTCTAGGCCCTTTCCAAGAAACTTGCCATTTTGTTGGCCCTTGAACACATAAAGATATCATTTGCATTGTCATACTGAAGACAGAATAAGCAATTTAAGTAATTGCATTTACTGATCAAGATGTTTCTTGGTGTTATCAAGAAGATGGTTTCATAATAACACATCACTGAGTTGCCACCACCTATGTAATCTTTCCTGGCAGGCTGGGAGGTGAACTTCTAAGTGGGAAAGAGCAATGAAATGGATCAATGTGATTTTATTTAGTAACTTCAAAAATTTCTTGACTTGGAATAGGTGTGTTTGCAAAGTACCAATAGCTTTATTTTTCTTTGGGCATGATCCTTTAACTACTTCCTTCTGTGACTTTCTGTTTGGTTCATTCAGACAAGATGAAGATCTTCTGTTATCTATGGATCTACAACTGGTTGAAGCACTATGTGGCTTTCAAAAACCTATCACAACACTGGATAACAGGACTATAATCATTACTTCCCATCCTGGTAAGTGTTGGTTTGCTTTCTGCCAAATGCCCCTGCATCCAGCAAATGTGGTCTGGACAGTAAACAGCACATTTAAGGGGAACAGAAGCAACTCACCAACTTTGCACAAGAGATGTGCTGGTGCCAAGTATTTTTTGTAGTCTTTGCAGTACGAAATTTTTAACAAATAAGGATTTGCTGGATAGTGGTGAGTGCTAGCTAACTCTTTTTTTGCATGATATAGTAACAGACCTTACCTCATGGACATATATCCTGAGGATACCTCATGAGAATTGAAGGTCTCTGAAAACTACTTTTTCAGCCTTGGAACTGATGGAGGACTTTACATATTTGTAAGTATGCTTCCCTTGGGAAGCATAATGAGGTTAAAAATGTAATGTCAATATCAGCCTGCTTAGAACTTAACAGGCAGTGTGTCCTTGATAGACTTATCAGTGTAGCTGTTTAAACACCCTGCAGAAGGCTACATAAATACATGCTGGAGGGAGTTAATGTTAAAACTGCCTGTGCTCCCTGTGCGAATCCTCCCCTTTCTCGCCCTTGACTTGTCCTTTTTTCCTTAGGCCAGGTTGTCAAGCAGGGGGATGTTAGGTATGTGTTGAACGAAGGGATGCCAATTTATCGCAGACCCTACGAGAACGGACGACTGTTCATAGACTTCAGGGTAAGTGCATTAGCTGACTCGTGTTGTTCCTTACCACTGAATATCCCACATGCATCTGACAAGTCAGATATAATCTAACAAAAAACTACCTGTAGTGGGATGGAGAAAGGTCAGTTCTGGCAAAGAGTAACTGCAGCTTTTGATGATTTCAGGTGATCTTTCCAGAGAATGGCTTCCTGTCCTTGGATAAGCTGTCTTTACTGGAAAAACTGCTACCGTCAAGGCAGGAGATAGAAGTGACTGAGGAAATGGAGCAGGTGGATTTAGTGGACTTTGATCCATCCCAAAAAAGGAAACACCACTATAACGGAGAAGCCTATGAAGATGATGAGCATCACCCCAGAGGTGGTGTTCAATGTCAGACATCGTAAAAGAGCCAGTGAATAACTTGTGATGCTTGTTTTGTATGCGCTAGTGGATGAGTGAAGGACTACAAGCAGTTAACCCTCACTTCCTGCTACTTGTTGTTTATTCAGCCATAGTTGTTTCTTAAAGCAAAAAGAAATAAACTAAGTAATTAAACTGACTTTACAATTTGAAGCTCCAGGAGGCAAACTCAGACGAAGTTGATTGCACTTCACCCCTGCCTGTTGGTCAAGAAAACTCCCCTGCTTGTCTTTATTTCAAGCCTTGTAATTCCTGTACGTGTGCAATTACCCAGGCTTAGACTAAGATTGTCGTGTTCTTTTTGGTATTCTAGATCTTATACTCTGTTAATGAAGTATGCACAAGTACTTATGGTAAAATGTAGTTAAAATTTTGTACTAATTAGAGTAACTTGTTACTGTTCTGGGCTTGTACTGGTGTTTATCTAGCGAGGCCTGGCTCCAGTGTAACCACATAGTATGTGAACCTGAGAAGGATGTGGACAGTCTTCACAGGCCTGCTGAAGTCATGCAGTTCCCCAGCTGTCTCAAGTTACTGCACTTAAGGTCAAACAGCCCCTCGGTGGCTGTCCTGGTGCCGGAGCTAGATGTGAAGCCCTGTTTCAGCACTGACTGCTCCATGGTCGCTCCTCTCTGTGGCTGCTTGGCTGCTGCAAGACCTTCTTTCCCTACGACGCAGGATTAAAAACCTCCAGGGCTTATTGACTCAGTGCTGCTGTTTGGAAGCGGTTCAGCCTGCCAGCATGCGAAGCTCGACTTCCCCTCTGATTACTGAAATTACATAGGCTTAGCTTGTATGGAAATGAAAGCAGCAGCATCCCTGCTGCTGTGAGAACAGGAGCCTGCAGAGGAGAGAGCCGTAGATGTCAGTGAATGCAAGCAACTGGTGCATCTAGCTTGTTTTTAAATTCATGTATTGTGCATTAATTTAAGCTGACTCTTGGAAAATTCTGTATGAATGTTCTAATTATTATAGATGAAACATTTCCAATATAATTACAGAATTGTTTATTGTGTCCTTTCTAAAACCTGTCAACTTGTGTTTTAGACTGATAGTGACAGACAAATCCCCTCAAAAATGCTCTTTCATTAAAAAGTGCTGCTGCAACATGCCCAAATTTAACCACCAGTGTGATGATGGTTTGGTCTTGTGTTATGAGATGCCTTGGGTTGCAGTGTGTGTTTGTATTGCTGTAAGGGAAAGAAGTTAGGAGAACTCCTATCTTCACATTTCCTTGGTGGAAAAGCCTGGCACAAGGACATTGTCTTGTATTTTAAGTCTCTGAAGATGGAAAATCTCTACAAAGAATCTTTTTGGGTAGACTTGTTCCACCAGCCCTTGTTATGAATGGTGTAGGCTTCCTTTTGTGGAGACAGCTCCTGGAGTGGCTCATGTTGAAAATGCAGTTCCCTTCCCAAGGCTGAGATGCTGTGATTCAGCTGCTGCTTCCCAGAGTCTTTGTCATGGTGGGAGTTGCATTCTGCAGGCCAGGCTCCATTCCAGGTTGGAGCTTGTTAACCAGCTCTGCACTTGTGAGGAGCGGGAGCCTTGGCTTCATCAGCCCTTCAAGGGAAGGAAGCCATTATGTGGACTTCAACTTTTCAGAAGTGTCATCTAAGAGCACAGGGCCCTTGAGCAGGCTTGTTCCCAGTCCAGGAACCACCCTGCTTGAGAACTATCTAACCTGTTGTTTAGGTCACAAAAATCAAATGGGGCTGTGATGTGATCACAGCAAGTGGTGCCAAGCAAGCTGCATGCAGGGGCTCGAGGGCCGATGCCAGGTGCTGTTCTGTCACAGGCGGCTGTCCAGGAGAGCAGAGCTCATTCCTCAGGCTTTTTGTTCCCAGAGCTGTTTTCCTTTCACTCGACCTGTGGCTGCATCCCTGTGAGTGGGGTAACATTTCTCTCTGCCTTTGTTTCCAAGGAGTAGACGAGCTCTGTGCTTGGTGGGCAGGCACAGTCGGGGCCGTGGAAGGGTGGCTGACTGGGTGCTGCCATTAGCTGTGGCAGGGCAGCCTAGCACCTAGTGCAGCTGGTTGGTTGAGACACTTGGAAGACTCGGAATCACAGAACAGCTGAAGGTGGATGGGACCTTTAAGGGTGATCTAGGCCAAGCCTTCTGCTCAAGCAAGGTCACCCAAGCTGAGCGTGATATGTCTAGATGGCTTCCAAGTATCCCCAAAAGAGGAAGTTGACAACCTCTCCGGGCAACCTCTTTCAGTGCTGTCACCCTCATAGTCAGAACAGTTTCTCCTTAGGATCAACCTTAACTTCCTGTGTTTCAGTTTGTACCCAGTGCCTCTAACCCTGACAGTAACCCCTGCACTGAAGAGTCCGAGCCCAACCTCTCTTCAGTCACCTACCACATGGATAAGGTTCCTCCACCCCCGGTCTGTTCTCTGCTGAACAGCCCCAGCTCTTGTCAGCCCTAGGGGAGATGCTCCAGTCCCTTAGTCATCTCTGTGGCCCTTCACCGGACTCACTCCCAAAGCTCTGTCCGTCTCGTGCTCGGGAGCCCAGAACAGGACACAGCTCTCCTGCCATGGCCTCCTATTTCCACACACACCTCTCAGTGATCTCAGGACACTGTTGGCCCTCTGCTCTAGAAGATGCTCCTCCCAGCTCCCTATCACGATGAAACTTACTGAGGGTTCACTCTGACCCTCCGTCCAGGTCACTGATGAATAATTGACCAGGATCAGAGCCAATATTGACCTTCACGACAGGCCTCCAAGTAGAGTTTGTGCCTCTGAGCTCTGCCTTGCAGCCAGTTCTCATCCCCCTCACAGTCTGCTCATCCAGCCACGCTCCATCAACTTCCTTTGGAGGATGTTACGGGAGACAGGGCCAAAAGCCCTACAGGGACCCAGCCACTCATCCCCTCATAGGCTGCATGACTGAACACGATTCTCCCTCTCATGTTCTTGTCATGGGATGAGCTGCTCCATCACCATTCCAAGGATGGAGGTGAGGCTGATGGGCCTGTATTGCCCTGGGTCCTCCTCCTTGCCCTTGGAAGACTGCCATGACATTTGCTTTCTTCCACGCCTCAGGAATGGAAGACCATGACCTTTCAGGGATGATGGCCAGTGGCCTTACATCAGCCAGCTCGCATTACACTTCTCACTGGCACCTATGGCCTCATCTACAGTCAGGTTGCTCTGTGGAACACCCTAACTGATCCATAACACACCACTTCTCCACAGAGGGAAATATTCCATTCTCAAGACTTACTTTCTGCCTGCTCCCTCCAGCTTGGGATTCCTGACAGCTGGTCTGGTCTGACCCCTAAAAGTGAAGAATTCTCCCTTTTCTCTCTCTTTGGTGACCAGTGCTGCAGCCCCATTTAACAGTAGGCATGTGTTGCCCCTGCTCTTCCTTTTGCTCAGGAGACGCTTCTAGGAGCCAGCAAGAAAAAAATACTCATTACATGTTAAGCACAGAGAAGCTTTGCTTGAGCAGTTATGCCATAGCCATCTTTTAACTATCTTTACAGGTAGTTCTACTGGAAACACAACATTTATAGCTGAATCTTCAGTATCTCCTTCTCTATAAATCACTAACAGTTTCTATCCCTTCTAGTGGCAGACATAACCTAGGTTCCTATTTCTGCTGCTTCATGATGATCCTGGGCTTCGTAGAAACACTCCTCTCTTACCTCATGAGAGTTTAGCTGCTTTAAAAGATACTTCCAGCAGATTTTCCTTCCCAGGAGTTTCCACAGAAGTCATTAAGCCTTCAGCTGAACTCTCTGTTATTAAGGATCAACAGAGGGTTTGATCCTTCTTCACAGATGGCAACCTGGCTTCAGTACCAGAGCAGGGCTAGACCTGATACCTACTTGGGTAAAATACTTCCCCTTAAATAAACAAAAATAAGATAAAAATCAAGTTCTGCCCACACTTACAACACTACATGGGGAACGAGCTAGCTCTAAGAGAGATGATCCACCAATAAAGCAAGGCCAATATGCAAGTAGTGAATAATATATTTTAATGCTAATTACAGCATTAAATATAGATATTCAGATCTTACAGATAAAAACAACATGACACCTTGCATATTTTCCAGAGGTAAAATCTTTTTCTAAACTATGTTAAAAAATTAAGACCATTAAGAATATCATTGCAATTGTGTCAAATACCAGCTCTTTTACAAACTATGGCTGCATTCAAGGAGATAAAATCTTTCCACCACACTTCCATTTAGAGAGTACATTTATTTCCCTGTCCTATCTCTGGAGAACTTAAGGCAAGACAGACTGAAAAACTTAAAAGGTAGAATATGCCAGATTTTTTTTTGTCTCACATTTTTAATCTAGAAAATTTATTTCAATCTTAAAATGTTGAGAATTTTGACAGACTATTCTATAACTAGCTTTGTTTTAAGGAGCAGTATGAAGATCTTATTTACACCAAGAACAGACAGCTCCATGTAATCTGAAGCAGAAGTGAACCACACATTAGATAATACCGAAAATATTTTGTCAAGATCCTCTTCTGTATGGAAAGTAGAAACTGCCAACGAAGCTTGTGAATTATTTCTGACAAATCAGCAAATTTTCATGTAGAAGAAATAATCACTTTTTGCTATCTAAAAAATAACTTTATTGCCATACCTCAGGAAATAAAAAAACAACTTAAGAACTAAAACATTACAGCTTAAGCAGAACTAAACACTACAGCCATAGTGAACGAGCAATACTACGTAAGAATTTATGGCCAAAAAAAAAAATCCTCATCTCCTTGGACATAAACACAGATCAAGTAAGTGTACAGGTCAATGCTGAAAGATGGTTAATCACAGGCTCTAGGACCAATTCCATCAGCTGAGATAAATGTGAGGTTATTTAAACTGGAATTTATTAACTCACAAAGAAATTATCAGTGTTGGAAAGGTTACTGTTGTAGGAAAGCATTCTACAAGAAATAAGGACACAAAACAGCACGCCAGATTCAGGTCTGCATGCATCTGTCTCATCATTACACAAAATCTTGACTTCAGCTGCATCCTAGAGGAACGATGGATGGGTTTTAGAAGATGCCGGTGCACAGTTTTCTGCAGTAACCAGGACCTCAGACAGAAACATCAACTTCAGGCTTCAGAACCATCAGGGCTAAAAGCTTCTTTTATCATAGCATGGGACCTAAGCATCACTTAGTGTAACCTTCATCCACGGCCATGGGTATGCGGAACTAAACACACTTTTACAAATATTATTTAAAGCTCCAGTGTGCTTTTCCCTTTTTTAGGGTGAAGAGGGGATGAGGATAAACTTAAATTCCAAGTACTAATGCAAGTGCCTCATTTCAGCACTGGGAACCATTTGAAACAGGCCTTTGCAGATTCTAAAATGTTGCTCCCTTGAGGCTAGGCCTGTTCTTAAAGTTGGTCTGAACATACTGTGCATTCATAGGAAGAAGGCTCAGATAATTCTTTTATTGCCTGGAAGAAAAATTAAAAGAAAAAAAAATATTACAGCTCCCTGCCACATATGGCAGATGTTTAGTGGGAAGTGCTGGGTGATGGGAAAGAGGATGAGGAATGGTTCCACTATGACAAAGCTGCGTGATGCTGCTTGATGCACGTAGGAAGTAGTACAGCAAAAATGAAACACAGCAAAACACTCTGGACTAGAAATGTGTCTGCCTTAAAGCTAAGGACAAGTAGGTTCACTTACATTCCCTTCATTCTGGGAGAAGGGACAGACTTCTTATTCTGTATCATTCACTCAAATAAAAAAGCTACATTCTAGGAAATCAGGGGCTGCTTATAAATACAGAGTTTCTAGCTCAATCACTTTATAAACAATGTAAGAATACAGACTTCAGGAGACAGAATAATCATTCCCACAGAAGTTGTTTCAGCTATTCTGCTAAAAGTACTTGAAACTAATCAATGCTGTCTCTAGCAGACCAAGAATAAAAAAAAAAAAAAAAAAAAAAAAAAAAAGGTGTTTTCTGGAAACCTGAACTGAAAATTGAGCCAGTATCAAGCTCAGTGGATTTCGACCTCGTAGAAGCACAAGCATCAGTACCCTGCAAACAACAGGCATGCTTCAGAGCTCACTGAAGTGTAAGCTATGGCTTCCAGAGCTTGAGCAGCCCGTCCTCGCTGTAGGTGGCAATGAGGTTCTGGTGGGGGTGGTGAGCAATGCCGATGACATCCTTCTCGTGAACCTAGGGAAGAAGCAGGAAGAAGCATCAGCAGATTCCCCGCTTGGCAGACTAAGCCGTTTCATCACGCAAAACCCAAGTCTCTTCAAAGAGGAAGAGAACGAACAAGCAAACAGAACTGAGATTAACATGTTTATGCACAGAAGAAAAGCAGGGGAAGACAATGCCTCAATATCAAGTTCAATTTTCCCTTGCAATTACTAGTTATGGGGGAGGGAGTTTAATAACCACCTACATTAACTAAAATGCACATCTCAGTGTTGCCTATTATATTCAGTCATTCAACTGGTATCTCTCTTTAGCTGATTTAATCCAAGGCAAACTGAAAAGAGCTTGGTCGTGAGTCTCCATCAGCTGGAATCCACGTCAAGATCTGCTCTAGCTCAACTAAACTCACTAATTTTGAGCAAATTCACTCAGTGGTCTTGATGGGTAGAAGTTCTCTCAACTTTTAAAATTGAAAAGGTATACAAAAAACCAACATATTCCACAGCCCAGTGTTCAGGGACATGTTTGTAACCAATCATGGCTGCTTGAGATGAGAGATTCACGAGTACAGAGCTCCTCCTTACAGACTACAAACACCACCATCACTTAGGTCAAACCCCTGTTTCTAAGGATGCAGAAGGCCTCCAGCTAAGGACTTACTGTCAGAGTTCTCTCCAGTTTGCCAGTCACTGTGCTAAAGCAATAGAGCACAAAATCTTCACCAACGCAGTAGATCCATTCACCACGCGGAGACAGGGCACAGCAGACAAAGTCACCACCTTCCCTCTTACCAGAGCTGAAGCTTCTCACAATCTGTAAAGACACCCCCACAGAAATATTTTGCAGAATTAAACTGCTGTGTATTGGTACTATGTCCAAGGTAAAAAAAAAAAATGCAGCGAGAACAAGGTCTGTTTAGAAAACAGTATCTCTCTGTGTCTGCAATTATATGCTATAGCTCAAACTGTTTGAGAAGGCTGAAAATTTAGCAGTTTCCATGAAAGCAAAACAGAGAAATAGGCTTAACCCAAAATTAAGTTATGCCAGAAGTCTGACATTCTTAAAAATGACCAAGGGGTAACTTTGAAAGTTATGTGAAAGGTAACATACTTGTCCCTGCATATTCATAATGACAACTGTATTTGATCTGTTGCAAACGACAAAGTGTTCGGGGTTTTTAGGCAGCAGAATGACACTGTTCACAGTAATGTCTGTTCCAGCAGTGCTGCCAAGGGATTTGAAGGTGTTTGAGCACTCTGTTGTCTTCACATTCCAAACCTAGCATAAAAAATAAACACAAAAATAATTAGGATTAGAGAAACAGACTGCTTTTCAAGAGGAGTGGAGATGCAGGATTAAGAGTTTTATTTAAGGCTCTGGAAGAGATAGATGAGTTCTAAATAAGGTAGTTAGAAACAGCTTTTAAAAATATAAAATTATCCCACTTATTTTGAAGTACACATACCATGAATAATTTCAGTTATGATTAAATCAAATTTGAATTTCTGTCACCACAAATGCAGCTTGGATTGCTCTCACTAAGTCCTTGTTGCTAGGGATAAGTCCAGATTTGCCTTCTGGTTTTAGGTAGCATCTGTAAATACTTATGTGGTTCCTGCACAGGCAACCTACCCAAATTTAAATGAAAATCTGGTGACAAAGTAAGGCCTTACTCAAACGAAAAGGCCTGATATGAACAGGAGAGATGCCTGATCTTAGAGCCATTTCAGGCACTAGAGCTAGAGCAGGCTGTTCCAGCCATTCGGAAACAGGAAATGGAACTTATTTAAAATAACAGTATAACCAACCATCTGCAGAAGGTTTTTACATACTACATTCCAGTGTGATCAAAATGAGAGATACCATCTTCTTATGCTGTTCTCATCATCAGTGGCAGCCCAGAAAACACTGCAAGCTTAAAGTTACACTATTTAAAGCTAGCAGGATCTGCTGCTTTATCATTTCCAACATCCAGAAGTTGGGTTTTTCACTCACTTCTCATACGCCGTATCTACACTGTGCTTAATGTGTCTACTTCTATGTTCATCTATTTAGTCAGCAGTAGTCAGGTTAGTAAATTCTAAACTATTCTATACTCAGTAGATCTATTTTTTTGGCTGAGATTACAAGCAGAAACCATCAGTTTCATTATGAGTGTTGGATATAATTTCGGATTGCCTAGTTTATATGGCTAGGGTCTCTTAAGCTCCACAAAAAACAGACAGACAACACAGTGAGCACAAAAACAAACAAACAAACAAAAAAACCTTAACAATTCAGACAAGCAACCCCCACCTTCTTGGAAAAGTGGTTTCACAGTTAATTCTATATCTAGAATAAAAGAAGAACAGGCTGGTATTGCTCCTGTTGTAAGTACAGCAGAAGTAGACTGTGCAGAACTGGTGAAGGAAACCTCACCAGTTCTCATTTAAATCGTTCTGTATGATTATTATGAGATATTATGAAGATAAGCCCAAGAAATAGTTTCTCCAAGTACTGTGGTATATGCAATAAACCTTTAGAACGCACAAACACTTTACACACATTATTTACAGGGAGGAGAGGCTGTCTTACCTTCACAGTGCCATCAGAGGATGCACTTATAATATAGTGACCATCCTGGGTAAAAGTAGCTTCATTGACGAAGGAGGAATGACCACGGAACTCCTTTAAGGTTTTGCCAGATTTTAACCCATGAATCCTGTAACACAAGTGAGGTCACAAGTGAGCAAGGAATGGATGTAGTGTGAACCTGCCCATGGCCTAACTGTATTTGAAGGCTGAGTTATCTTTGAGAACAAAGGCAAGAATATTATGTGCTAGAAATCTGTAAAACAGAATTATTACAAGTCCCCTTTCAAAAACAACATCCATTTTTGAGAAAGGCTTAGAGAAACACCATCAACTTAAAGAATCATACACAAACATACACAATCACTGGATCCATCTGCTTTGCAGCACAAATCCCATGTCCTGCAGCTTCATGTTGTCTTTCATGTTCATGAAAGACATGGACAAGCTGAAGAGCCTGAGACAGCCAGAAAGCTACCAAGAGCCCACGTGAATTCATGAGTAAAAGCTGAGGAAGGACAGGCATGTTCAGCCCAGGAAAGAAGCTCAGCGGGGCTGAACTGCTTCCTTCTTACAGACAAAACCAAAAACTCAAATCATGGATGTATTATAAATCATAATGAGCCCAAAGAAAAAGAATTTGTAAACTAAAACTAATCTGAGTGGCTTTCAACTGTGACAAAGTGCTTGTGTAGCAACAACAGAAGAGCTTTGCTGCACTTCAGAAGAACCCACCAGCAACCATTTCAACTTGGGAATAAGAATTGGGCAGAAGATGCCAAAGAGGTTCAGGGTCAGAATTACCACACAAGAGTTGAGAAAGAGCTCTTGGCATCTGGAAGAGCCCTAGCTCAGGAAAGGTTGCCGGTTATCTGGTAACTTACATTAATACAGAGATAAGCCACTGTAGTGTCTAATCCTAGTTAAATAAATAAACAAATAAATAAATCTTAAAAAGCACAATCAACTTTCATTCTTTCTTTGGTTCACTCCATAAAGATATCTGAAAAAGAAAGGCAAGCTTGTCAAAATTCTAATTTCTTACTGGTCATCTGAAAAAATCTAACAATTCAACACCACTGCCCAACATGGACTTAAAGAGTAGACAGCTGTAACGACAGATTCTTTTCAGAAGTGAGCAGTAAAATGACAGAGAACACTCCTTATGTTCAAGCAAGAACTTCCCTGCAAACAGCTCTAGGACAAAGGGACACAGAGACATGGCAGAGTTTCCACCTGCAGGGATTTTCAAAACTCAGAGGCACAAGTCCCTGAATGAGCTCTGCTGTGTTCTCAGAAGCATATTGGTCTAGACTTCCCCAGAGGTCACTTATGAAATACACTATTTCATAAGTGCATGTCTAGTTTGCCTTATACGAAGGTTTCACAGTCACTTTCTCAGACAACAGATACAGACTCACTCACCTTTGTGCCTGTGTGACACCAACCCATTAATCATGGAATGCATTTGTGATACTGTAGCCCAGCAGACTATTTGCACCTCAGCTAACTAGCCTGCATTCCAGAGGAACTCTGAAGGACACAGAAATCATCACTCCTCCTTTCCAGGCTCTCCAGAACTCAGCTTGTGAACATCCCATATCAGAAAGAGCCTGGCTGCCACACAGGACCACCACAGCCACTGGGAAGTTAAACTGTACAGATTAAGTTTCAGGAAAATCTAACTCAGCACAGTGCTGATGCTGCCCAGGAGGGCAAGGTCTGCAGGAGGAAGGAAGCACTGTTGCCTGGATGGGGGCTTCAGAGATTGTATGTCCAAAAGCAGAGCTGTGGAGAAAGCCTGCAGGAAAGCGGATTGTCTATTGTTGTTTTAAGAAATGTGATTCTTTCTCTGTGGCTCTTCTTAATCATTGAAAGAAGTTATAACCCAGCACGGCAGTAGTATAAGCAGTATAGCCACATTCCTTTAATCTAACAGCAATTCCAAAACAATGGTATATAGAATACCACAGACAGAAAAATAGACTGAAGGGACTTCAGGAGCCTCACAGCAAGGCTTTCAAGTCTGATCAGCTCACTCAGACTTGCCAATTTAGTTCTGCACTTCTTCAAGGACGTCTTGAAGAGATACTTAAGACAAAAATAAACATCCTAAGGAAGGAGAGGGCTATGAAGGCTGTTCCAGATACAGACTGAAACTGTTGCCATTGCAGTTCCCCATGTCCATCAGTCTGGTGTCATCCAGGGCTGGATTTCTGTCAGTCCATGTTAGACTGCAGGGTAGGATGGGGGCTATAAAACATTTCCTTTGGATTCCTCCCGCTTTGGTCCCTATGCTAAATGGCGGTTCCGTGTACCTAAGAGACACAAGGAAATGGATCTAGGAGCAAGTATTTAAGGACAGTATGGGCTCAGGGTGCAACATGAGGCAAGGACCTTTTCACCCCTGTATTAGTTACTGTCAGGTATAAAAAGCTACCAAGTATTGGTGATTAGGATGCTCATTTTGTCTCAAACAATGGCTATCATCCTGCTATCCCTAGATTATTTGCTTTCTCTCTAAGCCTATTATAAATATAACTATTTCTAAAGGCTCAACTCTTTAAGCTAGGAGACTTCCAAAAAGAAAATAAAACAAGAAAGAAAAAAAAACCACACACTTGGACAATTTGAACAAGATGCCACAAATGACATATTTGGACCTCAACCTTGAGATAAAGCAAATTAAAACAAAGTGAAAGGTCAAGTGTTCCAACTGATGCTCTGTTAACCTCAAAAGATTCTCCTGTTAAAATAAAACATAGAAGGATCAAATGTGTCTCAAAAAAAAAAAAAAAATGCTAAAGTTAACGGTCTAATATGAAATCTCTGTTCTGTTTTCCTTGCCATACTGTCAACCTCTTCCCAATTTATCAGGTAATCTTACCTGATTGTTTGATCAAAAGAAGCACTAAGAATCTGGCTGCTGTCTTTAGAGAAACTGAGGCAGGTAACACCTTTACTGTGTGCTCGTTCAAACCTTCTCAGACATTGACCACTCTGGATTTTCCACACCTGAAAACAAGGCAGCAAATGACACAGAGATGGTTACTAAGTTATGAGAACACTGAAGTATAAACATCCAAACCCACGTGTATCCTAGTTACTGGATCACACTAAACTTATTTCCATGCAAGAACACAACATTATTGTGACTGCAAGTGAATCTTTCCGATGACTGCCACCTATCCAGTTCCAAAAAATAGTCTGTACCTTGATCTTTCCATCCTGTGCTCCAGTTGCTAGCATTTCTGTATCTCTGCTGAAGCACATGCACAACACTGCATCATCCATCATCATAAAGTTATCCTGCGCCTGGTATTTCAGATCCTAAAAGAAAACGGAAGATCCAGCAGTCACAAGAATGAAGCAGAAGTGGATTTTAAGGCAAGGTATAAAAGAACTAGCAGTTTTAACTTTGGTCTGTACACTTCAGTGTCCATCCTCAAGTACGATACGCAGTTTGGTCATTCTGATCAGACTCAATGCCATACATTAGGCATCGAATGCTGGGCTAAGCAGGCTACAGTACCATGCAGAACATTATGCAGTGTTTCTGGGATGGAATCCTAGTGCTCATGGTCAAACATACTCCCCAGAGCCTTACAAAAAGAAAAAACTAAAAACAAACAAACGACAGGAAAACATCATCACTTTATCATGACTTTAGAGGCAAGAATTAGGAACTCACGAGGGGAAAAAACTACTGCATGGGGAACCTATGACAAAACAGATAATTCCAGGCCAATTCTCCTGAATAAAAAGGAGAAACCTCTTCAGATTCACTGTCCCAGAGGAATGAAAATGAAGTCTTATTCTCAAAGAATAAAACTAGGTACACTGGCCAATGAGCTATCTAACTGAAATAAGAAGTAACTTACCTTCCTGATCTTTCCAGTAGTGAAATTCCACACTTCAATGAAACCATCCACAGAGCCAGTGACCAGATACTGGCCATCTGGGGAAAACCGGGCACACTCCACATGCGACTTCTGACCAAACTGTTTTACAGAAGAATACAAGTTAAAGTTTAACAAAACCACAGTTTTAACTCTGCAAATTACTTATTCTAGTAATAAAAAAAATAATATTTTCTAGGCTTCTTCAGTTATTTTTTAAGAGACAAACATGTTTGATATTCTGTCTTTTTCAGCAGGAGGAAAAAAAAAAAAAAAGACGAGTAGCTATGACAACCAAGCATAAAAATTGTTTTCATTAATTAACATAAAAACCCCAAACCCATTTTTTCTAATTCATTTACCAGTACTAATTATTTCTGTCAAGCTGCCACTACATACAAAGATTTCACAAACATCAATTCACAGCTTCTAAAACGTAGCATCTTCCATTCACATGAGAACTGGCAGAGCTACTGCAGTGGGCTGAAGTTTCTGGCATCAGGGAACTGCTTGACCTACATGAAAAACCTTCACAGGAAACAGAACCCACTCTGCATTGCAAGCAGTGTGAGACCACTGCAATGCACTATTTTGTTTCTTTTTTGGAATGTGCATGATTAAATTCTTAACGGAAATACAAATTACATTATACAGGTTATTATCAAAACCTCAGGGGTTCTCAGAAGAAGGAACAAGCAACAATAATACATAAAAAGAGCAAATAAAAACCTCACCTTTATATGTCTGCTCAGCTGTGTGGGGAACTTTTCTTCCTCCACATCTTTCACAGCTGCTTTGCCTCGGAACAAGTCAATTGTCATACCAGGAGGAAGCAGGCCCTGATGCTGCTGCCACTTCAATGCCTTTGGAAAAGTTGAAATTCAACACACAGTTAGGTATCAGCTAACAGAAATCTTCATAAATATTTCACTAAAAAAGCTAAAATTAAGCAGTATTTTCTCGTACACACAAAGTGTACGCTGGACAGTTTGTGACTTGACTCAACCACAAGTAATATTTCCTAAGTTATCCTTCCCAAATCTTGACTGGGAACAGAAACAGAATGAGTGAAACAGAATGAGAAGAGCAAGTCTGAAGTCAGTCTTTGACTTAGCATATAGCGTAGACACACTGCAATGAGTTTGATCTTGCTTTTACTTAAATTACCTGGTCATTTGTCTATTTGCTGTTTATCTGCCTATTTGCTAGTTATTTGTCTATTTGCCATTTAGTGTCAAAGAACTAAAGTTAAAAGGATACATAAACATTCTTAGAACAGATTAACTTGATTCAAAAGGCAAAGCTGTTGTAAAACCTCTTGAAAAGATTAGTTGCCTTGTGTCACAGGACACATTATTTTGACAAAACAACTTTTTCTGGCATATTCACTAGTTTTAAAAAATTAAAACACAAAAAAACATAAAATGACAGAGTTTAAATTACCGCTTATGCATGGCATAAGTATGTTCTTGGAGTCAGTAGTTATAAACATAACACCTTAAAACACATTTTGCAAGCATTAATATTTGTTTTGAGAATACCCATTCTAAACCTAACCAATTCAATGAGAAGAAACCTGCCCCTATAATGAACAATTTTCTTAAACTGCTATATTCTTGTTAATGGAATAAAACACTGTTCTGTAAATATATGTAAGTGTGCAGTATTCAAGCTTTTTTCTTACACAACTGTAAAAAGAACCAGCTATCACACAGTGCAATCAGTTCCTTCACGTACTGACATTCACGTAGCTACTAAAACATTCTTTTTTCTCCTTTCCCCAAGGATTACCTGGCCCAGCAAAGCCATGAGACGAGAGGGAGGCACCACACTGACTTCTCCAGCTAAAGCCTGTGCGATAGCAGCTCTCCGCTTCTCTTTGCTACTTCCATCTGGGTACGCCTAGAAAAAAAGTTATTTTTTTATGAAGTTACTCTGAGGTAATCGATAAAGAAAGTTCCACTGCTTTTAGCTGAGTCTCCTTCAGATTTTTGCTGAGGCCTTCAAAATAGCCCTATTTTTTTTTCTCCAGCCTTTAAACACTGGGGATTTTGTCAGAGTTTGGTCAGAGATTACGTTACCGTTGTTAATATTATTGTTTATTTTGTCAGAGTTTAGTCAGAGATTATGTTACCGTTGTTAATATTATTGTTGCTAATTTTATTAAACTTGTTATTATGAATACTGTTAATGCTACAGCTGTATTATTGCCAGTATTATACTAGGAATACAGTAAGTGTTGATCACAAGAAGAAGAAAAAAACAGTCTTTGTCCCGTGAAGGCAGGACAAACAAGGCAAAGATGTTCAATGAGGAGGAAAGCATCATCCTGCAGCAAGATTCAGAACTAAATCCCCAAACCCCCAGCTTCACTAGGGTTATACAGCACGGTCCTGCCTTGTAACAAACCACCGGCCATCACCCCCCAGACACCTCACCAAACCTGTAAAACGCCGGAATTGACCAAACCCTCGATATCCACCCGAATGCCAAGGGGTGGCAAGGAAAGGGGGTGACGGGAGGGGCCCGTGCCGGCCTCACCTCGCGCGGGTCGAAGTAGGACCTGGCCAGCAGGTTCTCCAGGTGGATGTAGCGCTCGGGCTGCGTCTGCTTCAGCATGATCATGGGGTCTGTCTGCCGCAGCAGGGAGCGCGCGGCGCCCAGCTCGCGCAGCTCGATCAGCTCCAGCACCACCTGCAAGGAGAGGGCCCCGGCGGCCGCGTCAGCGCCCGGGGAGCGCCGGCAGCGGCGCCGGCGGCGCGCGGCCCGCCGCACCTGCTCGTAGAGGTCGATGAGGGTCTTGTCGGGCAGCTTGAGCGACTGGATGGCCTGCAGCACCGTGTCCCAGTGGCCGCTGTTGATGTCGGCCACGAAGCTCTCGATGCTGTCCACGGTGTTGAGCGACACGGTGGTCTCCTCCTGCAGCGTGGCGAGCGCGCGGTGCAGGCTGTTCTCCTTCAGGTACTGCATGATGAGGCGGATCACGCTGCGGGACAAGGGGCAGTAACCGTCACCGTCACCGTTACCGCCAACGCCACCATCGCCGCGCCGCCACCCACCCCCCCCGCCGCGCCCGGCCGAGGCCCCCATCGCCCCCGGGGCTGCCCCGGCCCCGCCGCCCGCCCGCGCTGGGCCCCGCCGCCGCCTCACGCACTCGGACGACTCGATCTCGATCGACATCTTGCCCCGCGGTCACTAGGCCCCAAAGAGACCCGGCCACTTCCGCCCTCACGCGGACGCTACTTCCGGCCGCAGGTCCGCCCCGACTGCCCACGTGACGGCAGCGGCGGCGTCACGTGGCCGGAGAGGCGGGCGGG